CTATTCTAAACAGAAAGAGTCTTTTGTCAAATTTCTAGTCAGGCAGACTCAGTAATTAACACAAATGAGTATAATTGTGCTCTAATTAGTAATTTTGTAATTAGCTGCTTGCAAACATATTTCCAAATTATGGAAAATCTGCTTGAAAAAAAAGGTAACTGAGGTAAGAGCTTCCACACGGGTTGCTGTTGGCCTGTGGGGATCATTTTGTGCATCTGTTAATTCCATCACAAAGAGCTGCCAGTCTCACTGTCGCTGGAAAATAGTTGATAAACTCAGAGCGTGAAAGCGTGACAGTTTAATCCTGTCTGATTTTTTTTTAATGTATTTTCACAGCATGCAACAGTGGCCTTATAGTTGAAATTATGGGCTTTACTCCCGAAAGGTGGTGTGGGTCAGAAAACCAACCAACATAACAATTTAAACATTAAATGCTGATTTGTTTCTGCTTTGTTAATCTTCTATTTAATCCGACAACGACATTAATTTTATATATTTTTTTATATATATATAGTATATATAGCACTATATGTGGAACACTTTCATATTAACCGCAGAAGTGAAAATACCTGCTGATGAAACAAACCTTTATGCTCCATACTGATAGATGTTATGCAATATCAATATATATTTATAATGATTACTCTCATAAAGAATTGATACTAATTAATACATGAAAAAGCCCCGTTAAGGTAAAGCTGAGCTGGTCCATTCATGTCAGGTGACCACTGTTCAGAAGAGAGCAGTTACTGATCCATGTTTACCCCTTAAGGGTAATTAAACTATTAAGAAATGACATATTGAAGTTGTTAAATGATCAATATTTGTCATGTGTTTTATTGGCTTTAAAAATTATGCAGAGTATCGATATCAGTATTCAATAAAAAATTAAATAATAAAAAAAGTCTAGTCCTGATTGGTCCTATGAACTTTTTAAAAGTCACATCAGCAGACGACATAAAACTCTCATTTGCTGCTCGTTGGACTCAATAGTGATACACCGTACCTCATACTGAGAAAGATACACACATGGTACTTACAAGGCTGCAGTAATTGCAGCTGTGCTGTCTCACTGCGTTGCCCTCTCGCTGCCCTTCCATGGCTGTGAACAGGAAGAATGCCTCCCTGTCTGCAGCCCAGGGCTGTATCTCCTTATCTCTCCTTGTTATAGATGAAAAATGTGTGTGTGTTTTCCAGGATAATTAAATATGTGTATTTATAAAACACAAGGGTACACATCATTTATCAGAGTCCCTTTTTTAAATGAAATCAAATGGGTTCCTAGGATAAGTATCTATGAGCGCGCTTACTTGACTGATTTGTTTGATGAACAAAGCAGAAAAAAGATCTGACGCCAGAATCAGATCATTGTGGTTATGAGGTAGTGATCCATGCTGGTTCATAATGAACAGCCTGTTTAATTAACATGTGCACTGAAGTAAACATGTTTCAAACAATATCCCGATGACTATTTGACTAGATAAATTATAAATGATACCACAAGCCATTCATATTCCAAGTCCTGCGTTTGGAAAGCCAGTAGAAAAAAAGTAGAGTAATTAATTATTTACTTTGTAAACTAGTGTGAAACACTCAAAGACTCACCCCCAAAATATTCCAAACCAACTCATATTTATTTGTTGTAATTTATTATGTATAAACCCCAGCAGTTACTATTTACAGAAAATAAGTTTAAAAAAGTAGAACATTTTATGTTGCCACAAAAGTGACATTTTATTGACATTTGTTTATTCACATTTTTATCTAGATTTTTACTGTAAAACACCTACTGTATGTCAGTCACCTACACTAACTTAGGCTTGGGAGCCATGATGAAAGGCAAAAAGTTTACACAAACAAACGAGAGAACGTGAATATAAACAAAGCTGTCATCTGCGTATAGTATCACATGACGAGGTGCTCCGTTACTAAATAGTTTTGTGATAATTTTGTTTTAACGCTGTAACATTGGAATAATGGAACAAGGGCTTCGTTATAGATGTATGGGACATGGCGACGTTAGCATAAAATGTTTCCACTTTTTATTGTGTCAACTTGCCAGAGATATAGTATTTGTGGATTTTAAAGAAAACACAGACAATTATAAGACCAGCAAATGTATTTGAATTGGTTGCACTGGTTTAACACTTCTGACACATTCCTTGCAGTGAATTTAAAAACTCAAAGAAAAAGAAGTCAAATTAATGTCAGAACCTAGATTTGTTTGGTGTCCACCCTTACAGTGAATTAAAAAACTCAAAGAAAATAAAATCAAATTAATGTCAGAACCTAGATTGGTTTGGTGTCCACATTCGTCCACATTCAAAAGGTCAAGGTCAGCTTTATTGTCAATACCTTCACATGTACAGAACATACAGAGGTATCGAAATTACGTTCCTCGCCTTCCCGTGCGCTGACAGACATAGACAATACTGAGCGAAAAACATTAAGGTGCACATTCGTCCTCATTCACGATTCATGATACCTGTATTTGTCATATACCCAGACAGTGAATTGTCTATTGCAATTAAATGTGTAAAGTGAGAAGAAAAATAAAAAAGTTAAAAAAATAAAATAGAAAGGAAACTGTACATATATTCACACATTTGAATGAGCAGTGTTATTGTTTGGTGGAGGGTAAAGAGTTCAGTATCCAGATGGCCTGTGGAAAGAAGCTGCTCTTG